AAGGCCAGCCTGAACTACATAACAAGACCCCATCTCAAAAATCAAAACCAAAGCAAAGAAAAGCAAGGCAGCGTTTCTGCACAGGAACCCTCAGTGGTAACCAAGGGGACCCGTCATGTAGGTGCATGCAGGGCCAGGAGGTGGTGAGCAGAGAAGGGAATCAGCATGCGGAACTGCTGGGACCTTGAAGGGAAGCTGAAGAGTAGCACTCCCTGCCACCCAGGCTCTGAGTCCTGACTGGAAGAACTGACCCTTAAGCCCTCGCTCTGCAAGTGTCAGAGGTTCAGGAAACGCCGGAGGAAGCAAGGGAGGTGAAACACCTGGCCAGGGTAGAGAAGAGCAGAGGGCCCCAGGCAGATCCCAAGGAGCAGAGAGCAGGGGGCTGCTGCCATGGAGAGGAGAAGCAGCGGCAGGGCATCCCCCCGCAAGTCCAGCATTTGGCTCCTGTGTCAATTTATCAAGCTGTGGCGGGGGAATCCTCCTGCCTCGGCCTCCTAAGTGCTGGGATGACAGGTGTGCACCACCTCACTGGGCAGTTTATCAGGTCAGTGAGGGTGATCTGGGGTTGCTAAGGGCACATCTCCTCACTCCAGGTTCATTGCCAGAGAAGAAGAGATGCAGGCATCACTGTGGCTGCTCCCAGCGTGTCCTGGCCACCACCTGCACTTCTCTACCCTGTTACAGGCATGGTGTGGCAGGCGCGTGTCCTCCATGGTTCCCACGGCCGCATGGAAGCAGGGGCACGGAAGGGCCTGGCTTGAGCTGGGGTACAGAGGAAGACTCAAGATAGGAGGGAAAATCAGGTGCCAGCCTGGACAACCTAGCACAACCGTGTCTGAAAAACAAACACAGGTGCCGGGCATGTTGGCACACGCCTGTCATGCCAGCCCTTGAGAGGCTGAGGCAGGGGGATCGCTACAAGTTCCAGGCCAGCCTGGGCTACACAGTGAGTTCATAGTCAGCCTGGATTCCATAGGGAGACCCTGTCTCAGAAAACCAAAACCAATCAACCAAACAAAAACAGAGAGGGAAAAGACGGAAGGAAAAAGGCCTTCTGGCAGGAGGGAGACAACTGTGCCCAAGCTCAAGCTCACTGTGGCCTTTAGGCCCAGGTTGTCATCACCTTCCTCCCCCAGGCCTCTTAGCAGCCCATTCAACTGGCTGCAGCTGCCAAAGGGAACCCACTTGCCCAGGACACTGTCCTTAACATGGCGATCTAGGCAACAAGCTACCCACCAGTCACCAGCTAGAGAGTTCGTCCGGGTGAGACGACCACAGGCAGCGGAGTAAGCCTTTACAGTCTTGGCAGCCCTGGTGGCCCAGAAGAGACAGTGTAGCACACAGGGACCAAGAGAGCAGAAGAGATCCACCCCACCTGGGGCACTACCTTCCTACAGGGACCAGGAGCCAGCTTGGCTCAGTCCCACAGAAATGAACTCGCAGCGGAGCAGTCTTAAACCACTCCTGAAGACACAGGAGAGCGGCTTGGACGTGCTGCAGCAGGATTTACAGACCCGCACACACAACAAACTGATATGCTCAACCATAAAAACGAATTTCCATTCTGCAAACAACCCTGTGCAGGAAAGGGAAAGACAAGCCACAGGCTGGGAGAAAATGTTTTCAAGAGTAGAGCTGCAAAAGGTCTTGGGACCCGGATTACATAAAGAACTCCTGCAAGTCAACAGAAAGAATACAAATGACCCAACATTAAAAACGGGGAAATAAAATGAACAGACTTCACCAGGGAATGTAGAATAAGAAAACTAAAAAATGCGCTGGGGAAGCCACTCAGGGATAGAGTGCTTGCCTGGCGTGTGCAGGGCCTTACACTCGATTCCCAGCACCGCACACACATGCACACATGCACACTCGCGCGCGCACACACACACAGCTCGACATCATTTCTCATTAAGGAAACGCAAGTGTAAACAACAGAGAGATACTACTCTGCATCTCTTGGAAACTGCAACTTGAAAAAGCTGCCAAGGATGTGGAAAAGTGGGAAGTGCCACCCACTGCTGGGGCAAGATGGCGCAGCACGGGAGAAGGCAGCACAACAGCTGACTGAAAGGCAAACACCAGCCTGCCAGCGACCCGGTGCTATTTACCTACGCGAGCTGCGGCAACCTGTACACAAACCCGTGTGGAGACCTTCAGAAATGTTGCAGCAGGCAGCCTGCAGCAAGTGCATGGGTACACACAGAACTTCTGCAAAACAAAGCAAGCGCTGTAAAGCTCATGACTGAGAAGTCATGGGGTGCACATCTGAGATTTCAATATAGGGCCCTGAGGAAGGCGGAAGCGGGGAGACAGGAAGCGGGTCATCCACTGCACAGAGAGAAGACAGAGTGGGCTTCAGACAGGATGGCAGCGGAGGACGCGCAGAAGGGGATCGCTCTGTCCTGTGCCTAGCTGGGAGACACGAGACTTTGGGCCTTTGTCTATATCACAAAGAGTGAACCTTACTATCTACAAGCAAGGTGACAAAAGCAAACCCTGCCAGGTGGGTGGGGACACCTCAGGTGGAATGTCAAGTGACAAATCACCCTACTGAGAGGGCGGCAGAGGGCGAGATGGCAGAGGTAACCAGGGAGAGTGACGGCAAGAGAAGCCAGAGGGATGCTGGGCTCGCTGGTGACGCTTTTTCAAAAGGAGACAGGTTCATGATGGGGACACTGCTACCTGGGTCAGGGGCCAGGGCCCCGGCCGCCAGTGTGTGTCTGGGAGGTGGTGTCGGGTTAGGCCCTCACACAGGCGACACGCAGAGCTCACTGCCTCTCCCGCACGCCACACGAAGGTGGCCAGGGGCCGGCGGGAACTGCCGACCTCCCTGCCGCAATGCTCTGGAAACGAGCGCCACAGAGCTGTGAACACGCTCATGTCGCAGCTCCCAGTCCCTTCCCCGTCCCCCTGGCAGTGAGCGGGGAGGGCAGACTGTCAGGAGAAGGCGATCGCAAAGTCACAGGACAGAGGGCTGGGACCACCAGGACATCACCATGAACCACAGTGGGCAGGAGAAGCCCACACGCACCTTTAGAGAAAAGCACTGTCCCCCAGCCGACATCTGGAGCGCCGGTGGGCCAGGAACAACTCCACGGCAGCTGACATACTTCAGAGATGCACCCAAAACACAGCTGAAGCCACATCCCTGAGACGCAGGCGGGGAACATACTCATCCGGGTTCTTTTTCCAGCACATCTCAGGGCCCTGACCTGTGCGAATCACAACCAGGTCTCAACCTCTCGCTTGTCCTTTCTGCCAGGGTGCCTGATCTTCTGTCACTGCTATTCACAGGAACAGAGGCCGTAACTGAAGCTAACAACAGATTATGCTTTACTAGAGGAGTTCCAACGTGAGCCCGATTAAAGAAGGTCCCAGCTCTTCTGCTTTGTTGAAACAAGCCCTGTTGTGAAGAAAAGCCCGACATCCTTCAGACCTTCAGCCTGGCCTCAGCTCCCAACTGGAAATGCCACCCGTCACCTGGGAGTACCTGGCTAATTTGCTCCATGTTCTCCTGATACCGTGAGTCTCATTTTGAGGCTCACAGGACTTTTTCCTAAAGACGACCCCATGCGGGAAGGAGTTTCGAAGGACAGGTTCGACGCTGGCCCAGCTGATCAGAACAGGAACTGGTCCCACACAAGGAGCACCCTGCTCTCTCTTGAAAGGAGCCTGGCCTGCGGGGTTCAGGGTGCTTGTGACACCCAGGTTAGGGCCCAGGTTATAGCCACTGCTTACATCCATGCATGTGACTGCAACAGGTACAAGCTCTGGCCACAAGTCACAACAGTAGGCTGTTTTGCCACATTAGCACGTCTGGCTGGTAATCCTCGACGCACACAATGGAAAGTTTGCAGTCACCGGTAGTTTGGGAGAACTCAGAATGTGAGGGACCCTCTTGGTAGGGATGGTACCTCTCAGCCCCTTGACCACACCGATGGTCACTCCAGAGCACACGTGATGACATTTCGTAGATTTTCACGACGCACAAACATACACAGGCGTGCCAAGTGTGCCAAACTCTGCGCTATCGGCTTCTTGGTGGTGCACTGTGGTTACATAGGGCGCAATCCGCAGGGCAGCTGGGCTGAAGGCATACACAAACTCTCCCCAACTAGCTTTCCAGCCTGTCTTGAGTCCTACACTATGAGGTCTGATTAAAAAAATATGGCGAATGTCTAATTTAAAACAAATGTATTATAGTAAAAGACACGTTGTCATGAATCCCCTCAGAATCGTCCCCCTCACTTTGAGCACTCATCCGTCATTCTTAGCACTTCCTGCAGTGGCTCTGGAGTCCTCTTTCCTGAGGGTCTTTAGTTGCACCATCCTGGCTCCCTCCATATCCTGAATAGATTCAAAATGTCTGCATTTCATGGTCATTTTGATTTGGAGAAGAGCAAGAAGTCGCATGGTGCCGGATGTGGTGAGTAAGGTGGATGAGGACACAGTGTCCTGTGTTTATGAGCCTGGCTTTCTGCTGGACGGCGCTGGGCAGCAGCATTCACTGTATTTCTGATCACTCCTTAAAAAGACTCTCCCGAAAGAGGGCTCCAGACCCGCTTCAGGAAGTGGCAAGAAAGATGGAATAAGTGTGTTCAAAGCAGCAGCTGGAGTGTGGAGGACCACTGAGGGGGATCAAAGGCAATGTGTCCTTGATTGCAATACAATTTTTTTAAAAAAATGTAAACATTCACACTATATTTTGATCATACCACTCATTAAAGCCATCTTAAACAAATGTTTGTCACAACACGCTACTCTTCCATCTGCATGAGAGACAGGCTCTAGTCCCACGCAGACTCCGAGGACATGGAACGCCACCCAGGAGCAGCCGGGACGTGTGTGGCACGGCCCACACAGTTCCACCCAAAGGACCAGTGACTTGCACACAGGGGCACCTGGGGACCTCCTCACCTTTCCCAGTGGCTTGGAGAGGATGGTTCAGTTCAGCTTTGTAACCAGAAGGCACTTAACTGACAAATCAGCACTCCTACCTTTATTTTTATCAGGTCTGTAGCCACCACTTAGTGTGTCTTCAAGATCTTTGTCTGAAAACCCTAGAAAAAAAAAATATGCATTTCAATGACAACGCACATCAGCAATGCAACCTTACGGATCAGTGTTGCCCAGCATTCACAGACAAAGCCACCAATTCTGCCTAAGGGTGCCCTCGAGGCAGCGGGAACACAACTGGGTGCAAGGATCCCCTCAGCACCACAAGGTCCTGGGCTCCTTGCTCACAATGGAAAAGAAAACAGTTCCTTGATGAAGGTGGAGGTTCTAGAGGCTGTCTCCTGTCAGTGTAACCACCCCTTCGTGCCAAAGCTGAAGGGACTTTGCAGAGGTAATCATGCACAAGAAGCCAAGGGCACTGGTTGCTGGGGAGGCTGCAGCAGGAGGATTGCAAGTTCAAGCCTAGCTAGGGAAGACCCTAGCGCAAAAATAAAAATAAAAGGAGTTTGTGATATAGCCTGATGCAAACTGCCCTGGGCTCAATCCCCAGTACCCCCAAAAATAAATAAAGACAAAAGTACATCAGTCAAAAGGCAGATTACTGTGGGTAATCCTCACTTCATTAAATGGCCCTTTTAAAAGCAAGTTTTGGCTTTCCCTAAGCTCAGACACCAGAGGCAAAGAGTGAGTCTCTTTCTGCCCCCATCCCTGCCCCGCGGGTCTGCCAGTCTGTCTCACTCTCTCCTGCTGGTTTTGAAGAAGCGAGGCTGAAAGGAAATGTACTTTGTCCACAACCCCACGAATTTAGAGGAGACCCCGACCTCATCCCCACAACGCCTTGCCTGTAATATAACACTCAGCTGCCCGCCTGGCAGAGGAAACCGTGGGAGGGTAAGTGAGAGTTCTCTTAACTCTGGGAGCTTCCGGTGCCTTTTTAACGCAACAACTGAAAACTCACAGAGGAGTCCAGCAGAAGAGTTAGGGCGTTCCAGGAGGTGAAATGCAAAGTGTGTGCTGGGAGGCTGCTCCCCTGTGTGAGTGGGGTGGGAAGGGCTTTCCCACAGAGATGTAGGTGCTCATGCGAGCATGTGGTGCACTCGTGACTAAAGAAGGGCAGGGTCACACCTGTATCTAGGGAGCGGAACACCTCAGGCAGGCACTCCAAGGCCTTACTTTACACGTCAACGGACATTGACTAACAGTCTTGTCTACATTTGCGTTTTTATATTGACGAGTAGGTTAGAAGAACTCTTTATTAAATGGGACTAGTTTTACAACTACTGTGTAAGTATTAGCAAGAAGAAATTGGGTTTCATAAAACAAGGGAGCAGGTTTTGTTAGGTCGGGAAGTCTAAAGACACAATTCAAGCATGCCAAGTGTTAGCTTAATAGGGAATTGGGTGGAATTTGGTTTAAGTTGAATTTTTAATTACATAGAAAAGTTTTAGAATGAGTTGAGATGTAATTACTTTGCAGGTGCTAAGGGAAAAATTAGGATCCTATAAAATAAGGAGAACTTACTAGTTCAACAAGCCTAGGGATTTTTTAAAGATTTCTGTCTCTCTAAAATTAAAGTGAGCCAGGCGAAAAGTTGGTTTTAGCTAAATTTTTAATTGGGTTGGATTTCATCATTGACCCTCAATTGTACAGGGTGTGCCTCTTGTTTTGGGGGGTTGGCAAGAGTAAATCAACACATATGTTATGCCTGGTTGGCTTATATTAAGTAAAGTGTGTAATGGGTTCATTTAAGACTGGAAAACAGAGGTAGGGGGTTTCCGGAAATCATTTCTACTGAGTTACAGGTGTGTGTATGCACGCAGGTGCAGTTAGTACCTTAGGGTCTTTATGTAATATTCAATGTAAGTCCAGATACAAGTTAACTGACTGCCACTATGCCTTGGCAGCTGAGAAGCAGCATTCCCCCAAATTAAAAACTGCCCGACGAGTGACCCCACAGTCATGTGTGATGGAGGGTAATCAGTCATTAGTCCACTGAGGTGTCTTATTCGAGAGGAACACACAGCCATCTTAGGTTGAATGGCCCCGATGTAAGAATCAGATGCCAAGCACAGCTTCAGGAGAGAAACCTCCACAGCTTGGGCTAAGGACAAGAAGAGGGACGCTTTCTTGGAGGGTTGCTGGTTTCATGGAGATGAGAGATTAAGGGACCAAAATTGGAGGCCATATGCATGTTGACAAGGATTGGTTTGACTGTGCTACATAACATCAGTGCCATTATGTCCTATGTAACATTAATAAGGAAAGAAACGTACTTAAGAATATGGGTGTGGCCAGTAACTCAGATGTGAACTAGAGAATTAAATGGGCTACATCCTATGGAACAGTCTTATGTTCATGATTACAGACATGGGGTCAGTGTCTTGACATTGGTTAAACATACTTCATGGACAATAAAACATAGTACATTCTGCATGAGGGAAGAAGCAAAATGCATGATATACACAGGGTGTGAGAAGATGTGGTAAAAATAGATTATTATCTTCCCGATGCTTATATAACACTTAACACGGGATGGCCACCTGAAAGAGGGAGGGTCAGGGAACGGCTGAAGGAGAACTGAACCATTGGGTGCTGACTGGAGTTCTGGGCTGCTCCCTGGATTTCCTCCAGGACAGTGGTTTCTCTTTCTCATTTACAAGACTGGAGTAATTTGGCTCATACAGAGATAACTCTTCATCTGAGGTACTTATTTCTAACAAACTTGCTAATGGTATAAGAATTCAAATAATGAAGAAATATTCGGTGCTACTTGTCCCATAGTGGTGAAGAAGTGTCCAACTGGTTGGCCTCTGGCTCGTGTAAGTGTAATATTTGCTGCCAGGATTCAAAACAGGCACACCTCACTATTTACATGAGTGGTCTACAAGGCCAATAGCTAGATCAGGACTGAGGCACCAGGACGAATGTCTCCGAGTTTCCTGGGGAGTGATCAGAGGATTGTGTGTGCAAATAAAAATGTCACTCTGGCTGAATGGGGGAGAGTTTGGAGGTTTGCAGGTGTACAGTGATCTGGATCACCCAGAAAGTCAGGGGAGAATAGGATTAGTATTAGGAGCGCTAGAGTTGGGAACAGAAAGCCTAGGATTTCTTTCTTTGCTTGGTAGTAGTGGAATGAAATCTTGTCAGTCTGAGTGTATTTATACCAGATGGGTTATGTGATGGAGAAAGAGCTGGTGAAGAGCTACAATGGTGAGTGGTAGGATAAAGTGGAATGCAAAACAGTAGGTTACAGTTGCTTTGTCAGCTGAGAATGTGCCTCAGATTCATTCTACCACGTTAGTTCCCATGTAGGGGACAGCTGATCATAGATCAGTAGTAACTGTAGCTCCTCGAAATGATATCTGTCCTCGAAGTAGGACATAGCCTATAAACGCTGTAGCTCTAACTGAAAACAGCAGTACAAGCCCAAAAATTCCATTTTTGGGAAAGCGCAGGAGCTGTAATAAAGGCTTCATCCAACATGCAGAAACAGACGTAGAAAGATTGACATTGTTTGCATGGGGACAACAGATGATTCAGCCACGGTTTGCATGTAGGCAATGAAGTAGACGAGAAAGAGGTAGTTGTATCTGCTGAACTCTAACAGGGAGCCCAAGATTTTCATCGTGCTGAGACATTTGATAAGGCAGGTAAGTCACTGAATGAATGGCTGACAATTTTAATTAGGGGTGAGTTATTTGAATGTTGGTCATTAACATTGCTATAGTTGAAATGGCAATGATGACTTTTCATGTCATTCGTCATGGTTAAATTCCTTTTGGGAATTATGATTATATTCATTGTGCTTTTATTAAGTACTTTATTACAAATTTTGTTAAGTGTTTCTTCAAAACCTTTGCCCATCTATGGTGGACTGGATTTAATCTTAAGCGGTAGGGTTGTATGTGCTGCCGTATTAAATTTTGGGGACTCTCCCTCAGGCTCGATGGTATTTTAATTTATTTAGAGTGGTATTACTGGTGTTGGATTATGTATGCTACCATGATAGCGACAGTGAGGTACCCCGAAGCTTGGGGTTCGTGTGGTTATTTGAAGCGTGTCATTTTTAGGTTTATTAACTGGACTGCTGGTGGGTTTTGATTGATGAGAGTATGAGGAGTTGGAAATTATCACTGAATCCAACAGTAGAGGAGACTGAGTAATTTATGAGGAGGGAGGAGTCGATTTTCTTGCAATTAAGATTACTCGTGGGAAGTGAATTACTAGAAATAATGGCAGGATTACAGAGACCGAAAAAAGAAAGGAAATATAGTTTAAGGAAATAAAGCTTATAGCTTTTTGGCTTGGGGTGATAGTTGAGGCAATGATTTGAGTGTTAGAGGTACCTGGGGGCACTGTTTTTCAGTCAGATGAAGCCTACAAGGGCGGATGCTGTGTTTGGACTAGCTGATAAGATTTTGTGTGGTGATAGGTGGCGAATGGTTATCAGGAAATATCCCAAGAGATTACAGAAATTTGGAGTTTTTGAGAATTGAATTTTTAGGTTGTCAGTCGTTAGGTTTAATTCTATTGCGAGGGGAATTCCTAGAATAGTTAGGACAAGTGCAGATAATTTAAGTGCAGATTATTTGAGAGATAAAAGAAACCTGCAAAAAACGCTGCCGCCTGCTAGGCGTTTGCTATGGCTGCGTCTAGATGCCCCTGAAGCCTCATGTGGTCATAGGTGGGGCTTTTCGGAGCTGGCTGCATCTGGAGTGTGTGATGCTAGAACTGATTTATGGCGCAATGCGAGGCCCAAGGGCACTAGGATTAAGGGTGTGAGTGCTGCGAGCCCAAAGTATAAATAAGATAAAAGGGGCAGGGAGATGCAGTTATGGTTCCCTTGCCTGCTTGCTCTTGCTTTCTCCTGCCGCCATGAACGGTTCCCCCCCGCCATGTGCCGCCTGCCTTGGAGCCAGCTGACTATGGACTGAAGCCTCTACACACTGTGAGCTAGGCCTGCCTCCCTCCTCCAACTTTGGGGGTCGGGTATTTTGTTTCAGCCATGAGAGGGAACTGAGCGTTTGACTGAGTTGGCACAAAGAGGGTGCATGCGCTATGCATATGCAGATGGAGGGGAGATGGTGCTGGTGCGTGTGCGTGA